CGGTTATATATATATATATATATATATATATATATATATATATATATATATTTTCTTGAGTGTTAGCAACTTTTTTTTTGTATGCGTGCGTAGTAACGCATATATATTTAATTTTACATTGACAATTTAATATGAAAAAAATCATGAGATGATCTAACGGGCACATTGGAGCCAGAAATGCGATAGAAATCACATGCAAAGCACCAGGAGGACACGGATAGGATGTATTGTTCTTGCTCTTGTCTTTTTGTGTTTATGGTTGGAATTTTATAGATATATTTTTGTATAACAAGTCGTGTCATAAATTATTACATTTTTTGTGATCTCAGTTTTTTTTATGGAAAAGGAGTTATTTTCAAAAAAAAAAAATCATCCTTTTGTCTTTTTGAATAATTGGGTATTGTTTCTTAACAACTTTTGCAGTTGAGATTCTGATTCTTTCTCAGACACACATCTGACATGTACAAACCATAAGATTCTGTCCTCACATTTCCTTCAATAATTTAACCGTCATAAATATCATTGTTTTAAAGAAAAATTATATTATATGATGTTTTTTTTGTTAAATTATTATACGATGTTTCTAGGATATATATATATATATATATATATATATAAATTACGCATTCGACCATTAAGGTTGAATGTGTAATAATTTAAAGTTAAAATCATATGTTAAAACCATGTGTTGTTGGATCAATTCTTCGAAAAAAAACGGTTGTTTTTTTATAGGTTTAGTTATATATTTTTTTGGATAATTGAATATTTTGGACCAATATCCAAACTAAATTCCGAAACCATTGAATTCGGGACGGGACAGATGCTTTGTGTTCCATTTTACCGTTTGAACTACCCAAATTTGAATAAGTTTTACTTATATGTTCTATTTGCATCTGACAATTATATTAGATATATTTCTATACCTACGAATCAAGCAATAACAATAATGATTTCATCGTACTTAAAAATAAAACTAAAAAATTAGTAGCTTAATAAATTTCTGATCATTCTAAATAATACTCCCTCTGTTTAATTTTAGATGTCGTTTTAGACTAATTTTTTTGTTTTAAAATAAATGACGTTTTACTGTTTTCTATGCATTTTTTATACTTTTTTCCACTATTACCCTTTATTAATATGACAAACTATCATTAATTACATAAAATTAATTTTGATTAAATAAAGGTATTTTAGACATAATATTTATTTTCTTAATATCTGTGCATCATGCCAAAGCGTCATGTAAAGTTAAACGGAGGGAGTATATCTACAATTCACACCCTGGATTATGTGATTTATGGATTAAAATTTATTTAAGAATAAAAATAATCTGATGGGCTCCAGCTTTGTTGGAGGTCTCTCTATTCATTGATTTGATGTTCTCTTTTGTCTGATCCATTATTTTGGTTATTTAAATATTATTTTTGTGCCGTCACAAAGAAATGTTGTTTTGTTTGTTTGTTTTCATTGTTGCCTGAAATAATTCATGGAATCTACAGATCCAATCTCAACCGGGATTACGGCTTTGCACATGGCCCAAATTTAAATTGCAAAATTTTATATTTTTATATTTGTATACTACTAAACAAAATAATATTATATTCTTAATGAATGCTTTTCAGTGTGAAAAATATATTTTCCGCAACAATGATTGTTAATAATAATAATAATAATAATAATAATAATAATAATAACAACAACAACAACGTCAAAACAGCCTCTCGAGAAAGTTTATTTCTAAGCTAGTATAATTTGATTACCTTATATCAAAATGGCAACATATTTGGTATATTTCTTCACTGTTTATTTTGTATTTTAAAATCATAATTATGTGCAGCATTTGTCTTTCTTTTTTGGGCAAGCTAATAAATTGTTAATAATAAAAAATTATGGAAAACCAAGAGTTAAACCCTATAACTATGAGATAAATCGTATCATTATATCTTATGATTCCTTAGTATACAGAGCATATAACGTATATGTGTGTGTAGCATATTTGGATAATAATCATGCATATTTATTTCCACCTAATTAAGTGGCATCATTGGACTGAAGGCTCGAATAAAAACAAATATATAAAATATTTATTGCGTATTAAAAATTTGATAAAAATGGTTTTTGGTAAGAATGCCACCATCTTAATCAACTAGGGTTTTTTTTTGTGTCCATCTCTTCAAATGAATATTGGAAATCACAGGGTCTTAGGGTATAATTCCATTGTCTCTATTTCTTCCTTTTTAAAAAAATTATTTATGAAATAAGAATATTATATTGACAATCATTATAGCTAGGGAATATTTATCTATTGATCTTAGGTGGTAGGATTAGTGAGCATAAGACCCATCCTAACAAAGAAGCTTCATTTTATAATCTATACTTTATTCTTATTATACATTATAAGTTATAGGATCCTAATATGTATTTTATTGGTTTAAAATAATCTTTTGATGATCTCATGGAATATTACACATCTATTGTCAAATGTACTTGATAAACAATTTCATATAAAATTATTTTATGACATAATGTATATTTGTTTAATTCTACCACTCTAATATACGTATATTTTAAACTCAATCATGATACAACTGAAATTTAGAAATTTTACATATTAATTATCTTGTTAAGTTTGAAGTTTCAGAGCTAAGGTGGAGATTACATATAAAGAAGGATTTGTTATATATTGAAGTTTTATTTTTGTCTCTGTATAATTCGCATTAAAGAATTAGCTGTATTTTTTTACAGTCTCGAATCATTTTTACGATTTGCAAAGTGGTGAAATTTAATAAAATATATTCAAATTAAAATAAATAAAGATGATAGGCTACAACTTCCGTGGACGTGGGGGGTCCTTTTGTGGGACAGTGAGTGATTACAACACACTTTGAATTGTTCATTTCACCAAAGGACAAAGTACTTGGCTGACACCAAATATTGCCTTATTTTTTTATTATATAGTTCCCTACATCGATAATGACGTATTTGTTATTTCTATAAAATTATTATTATTATTATTATTATTATTTTGTCATTGTATGTGTTTATTTGATGTGATTTGCGTTGTACTTGCACTAAATTTGGATATTTTATTTCATTTTCTGTTATCTTAAATATATTTTGGGGGGCGCGCACACACATATATGCCCTTGTATGTAAATGATATTTAACCGAAAATAAATTCATGAAACATTTTCATCGGTCGTCCGTGGAGCATTTAATTTTTTCGAAATTATTCTCTCGAATTCTATTGAACTACTTGATCGTTTGCATTGGTATTAAAATATTTTTTTTCTAGTTATTCATTCAAATTCTATCGAAATGTTGATTAGAAAATATTTATATTGTTTAGTTTTTCAAAAAATAAACGTAAAATTTATCGATCGTCTCTATAGAGTAGAGTATCAATCGAACAGTTAGTAATAAGTCCAAATAAAAAAACCCCGTAAAATATGTTGATAGAAAAATTATAAAAATAATTATGATAGTAATATACTTTTTTAATTGATAATTGCTAATTAGTGATTCCCTCCCTCTCTCTCTCTCTCTCTCTCTCTTTT